TAAATTGCATCTTCATTGGCTATGCACAAAATAGTAGTGCTTATCGATTTTTTGTGTATGATTCTAAAATCCCAGTCATACACAAAAACATGATATTGGAATCAAGAAATGCTTCATTCTTTGAACATGTATTTACGTACAAGTCCAAAGAGGAAGCAAGCTCCTCCAAACGATCATATGAGACTATAACTGAACATAGTCATGACGACGAACTAAAAAAGTAGACTACGATTAGACGTAGCAAAGGGGTATGGACAGAAAAATCGTATGGTCCTAATTTTCTGACTTATATACTAGAAAGTGAACCTCAAAGTTATCAAGAAGCTGTGAATTCCTCGGAAGGACCTCAATGGAAGGAGGTCATTAAAAGTGAAATAGATTCCATACTACAAAATCATACATGGGAGCTAGTGGATCTTCCTCTAAAAAGCAAACCAATAGGCTATAAAGGAAAATGAGAGTAGATAGAACTATCGAAAAGTACAAGGTCAGATTAGTAATAAAAGGTTACAAACAAAGGGAAGACCTTGATTACTTTGATACGTATTCTCCAATGATGAGAATAACATCTATTAGGTTGATACTTGCGATTGCCGTTTTGCTACGAAATCTTGAAGTAAATGAAATGGATGTTAAAACTGCCTTTTTAAATGGAGATTTAGAAGAAAATCTATATGGAACAATTCGAGGTGTTTTCGTCACCAGGGCAAGAAAAGAAAGTTTGTAAATTGATGAAGTCACTATATGGCTTGAAACAAGCACCCAAACAACGACATGAAAATTTTGATGATGTCATGATAGAAAGTGAATTTAAAATCAATGAGTGTGACAAATGTGTTTACATCAAAGACACTAAAGATGGTTATGTCATCTTATGTCTTTACGTTGACGACATGCTTATTGTTTGGCAGTTACAGTAAGATGATTGAATTCACTAAAAATATGTTGAATTCGAGACTTGACATGAAAGTTATGGGTTTAGTTGATGTTATACTTGGAGTCAAAATCTCAGGAACATCAAATGTACTGGTTCTAAGTCAGTCACATTATGTGGACAAAATTTTGGAAAAGTTCAATAAGGATGATACAGACTTGGCTAGAACACCGATAGATACAAGTCAACATCTATCTAAAAACAAAGATGAAAGTGTCTCTCAAGTAGAATACTCGAGAGTTATTGAAAGTCTAATGTACTTGATGAGTTGTACAAGACCAGACATAGCCTACACAGTCAGTCAACTGAGTAGATACACGAGAAATCTAGGAGCTTATCACTGGAAAGGAATAGTAAGAGTACTATGGTACTTAAGATGTACTCATGACTATGGACTACATTATACCAGATATCCAACGGTCATTGAAAGATACAGTTATGCTAATTAGATATCTGATATAAAAGACTTAAAGTCTACCATTAGATTTGTGTTCATATTGGGAGGTGCTGCCATAGCGTGAAAATCCTCTAAGCAAACAGTTATAACCAGATCTACGATGAAATTTGAGTTTATAGCTCTAGATAAATGTGGTGAAGAGATCGAATGGTTGCGCAACTTCTTAGAGGATGTACCAAGATGGTCAAAACCTGTGCCAGCGATTTGCATATATTGTGACAGTCAGTCAGCAATAGGAAGGGCACAGAGTAACATGTACAATAGTAAGTCCAGACATATACATCATAGACACAATACCATAAGACAATTACTCTCAACTGTAGTAATCACTATTGACTATGTAAGGTCAAAAGATAACATTGTGGATCTGCTAACCAAAGGGTTAAATAGAGAGTTAGTTGGAAAATTATCGAAAGGAATGAGACTTAAGCCCTTAATTGAATAAGTCATTACAAAGGAAACCAACCTAGTTGACTGGAGATCCCAAGATCTAGGTTCAAACGGACAACCTAATTGTGAAGGCTTAATAAAATCACTGTGGGGATGTTTCCTCCTATCCATTCCTATGATTGTAACAATGATGCCCATAAGGATGAAGGATAAGCAATAGGCTTTTAATGATTCTTATGCATCAAAGTTCGAGCCAAGTAATACGGGTTACTTGTAATAAAAAATCACCTATGAGAGAGAGAGTGTGGGGCTGCTTCTAAGAGAATTATGTAGGGCTCAATTCTTGAAAACTCTCACAGAACCAGACATATGTTCATGACTAAAACGAACATAATAATGAGAACTGAATTATGTTAGGAAGAATCATGTGTGGAGTATATCATCGTTTACATAAATGACAGAACAGTTCAAGGACAACATGTCTACAGGTCAACTAGTAAAGTAAATATGCTTTCACAAGGAAAGATTCAAATGGTAATACCTACCTATCCTATGCAGGCTTCAACTATTGAACTTTATTATCACGTCTTGTGTCTCACGGTCTCATGTCTCTCCCAATTTTCATTCATGTGGGGAATTGTTGAAAAAAAGAGTAAATGACTCATTTTTGGCAATATTTTCAATGGGACCCGTTGGTCCAATTTGGAATATCAAAGTTAATCCGTGTTTTTCTCCGTGAGAGCATCAAAATCATATATTTATTTGTCAAAAATGAAGCTCGAGTAAATGAGAAATTGGAGCTCAAAGATGACCATTGAAAGATGGTTTACGTGGAAAAATTGTATTAGTCCCATATAGGAAAAATATAAAAGCAAGAACCACTTTAAATTTGGTTGCACATTGGAAGGGTGTAATCATGTGTAGCATAGAGGCTTTCTCCATGTGCGCATACAGTGGGTGCAAATCACGGATTGAAATTGCCTTTGGACCTTGAACTTATGTGTGGGCGCAATCTGCATATATGAATGTCAGATCGAATAAAGCAAAAATTGGCCCCTTGTAGAGCTCACGTTTTGCAATTTTTTTTCTTGCTTTCTCTACTGACTTATGAGTTTTCAAAAACTGCCAAAACTCTCAGAAATTGAAACAACTCCACTGTTTATTGCTATGGAGTTAATAGGCAGATTTAAAACTTATATTAAGTCTCATTTCCAACAATTCAACCACGAGAATACACACCATATTACAGTTCACAAAAATATACAGTATAGGAGAAAAACTATCTGCATATTAGTGTTGTCCGCATACATAATCTGTTGCAATTTTGGCGTCGTCGTTGTGTTGATATTGTTCAGACGCTAAATCAATTCGCCGGAATACTTTCTGCGGTGTTCAGATTTTGCGTATTTTACCATTGTATCCTGTGAAACAGACGCTCGAATTAGACCTCAAACACTTACGGTGAGAGCACAAATCTGTTTTCAGGAAAATGTATTCGCACAGGCCTCGGGTTGAAAATTTATTTATTTCTGCAATTCACATATTTATTTATTTAGCGATTTACATATTTGCAATTTAATCTTATGCCTCGTAAATTTTTCAGTTTATTTTGTTATATGTGCTTCATATAATTTTACAATTTATTATCTGTATGTCGAAAAAAATATGAAGAAAATTAATTAATTTAATAACATTCGGCTTGGTAATTGTCCAATCGGTATTTATTTAGATAATATATGCAAATACGGTATTTCCACATTTTGGCGTATGTAAATGCATATGAGGTATGCTAGTTGCATATAGGTATCCAGTAAAAATGTGTAAATCACTCACCGTATATGAAATGGAATAAAAATAGTTTGTGAAAATTTTGTACAAATACGTTGAGCTTTTTACAAATATGGTAGGCAACATATATGTTAAGCTGCAAATACGATAAGATGCAAATATGGTAAGTTGCCTGCAAATACGGTAAATTGCATATATGGTAAGTTACATGCAAATACGGTAAGCGACATATACGGTATATGCATATACGATATGCTTAAATTGGTATCTAAACTACACATACGATATGTGGTAATCCGGTTTCATTACCACCTCTATATTTCCAACATCTATTACTGGGTTAATTCATTTTCATTATTTTAGTTAAAGAAGTCGTGAGATTAATCAATTAGAAAAGCGTGTTTTATTTGCTTTACAAAGTTAATGGCATGTTTGGCACTGCTTACATGGCATTGACATGGCACTTGATTAATCATTTAACGTGCCATGTTACTCACTGTCAGCCATGTAGATAAGTTTGCTAAGGATTCGTTTAATTGCAAGAATAAAATTAGGGTAGAAAGAAAACGAATTTCAGGAAATTAAATTGTCTAGAACCTGTTTTATTAGGAATTTGTCAATTAATTGTGTTAGATTGGTATAATTTTCTAACTAAAAAATGTTGAAATTTTTCATCTCTTGGTGTTTGTTTGGTGTTTGAAGAAAGAGAAAGGGAAAGTGGGTTTGTTTGTTTGTTTAAATTGCCAAGAAAACAAAGAACTACCTGACTCGTGGGAATTTCAATTCCTCATATTTGTGGAATAAAGGGTCACATGACCGAAAATGAGAAAAGCAATTGTCAAGAAAATATTTCTTATCAAACAGGCTAAAAAGTGGAAAATTGTGGGATAATTTCCATCCTTCATGAAAAAATTGGCCTATCAAACAAGGCCTAATAGTTTCCATCCTATGATCAACTATCAAGGGAGTTCAATGGAGTAAAGTTGAATGACCAATAAGATAAGTTTTAAAGAATGGTGAATAAGTCGTGACATGTAGCAATGTATAATAGCTACTTAAACACTTAACTCTATTAAAAAGTTAGTACTCAAAGGATTTTATAAAAGTTATAAATTTTTAATATCAATGACTTTTAGACATTTTTTTTTCAGAGATCTCGACTAGTGAAAACTTACTCATTAAAAAGTTTCTAGTCAAAGGATTTTATAAAGAGATTTTGCTATTTATACATAAAAAATTACACAATAAATTATATAATATGATGTAAAGGGGAAAGATTGGATGAAAATGTTGATTATATTTTAAATTGACAAATGATAGAATACACGTGATATTATATAATCAGGTAAGATCCTTTATAAAATTTATAAATTTATTGACCTTTTGAATATGAATGACTTTTTAAGATTTCTATAAAATCGATTGAAAATTTTAAGAACTGAATTTCATAATTTCACATAAAGGTTTTGATTGTGTACCTCAATAAAACCTTTAAAAACCAACTATTGCATTGAAGAAGATCCGAATTCCGCCTTGACTAATTAAAATTATATATATCTCCTCTAATTGTTACAATTTAATTTAATTTTATTTTTTTTCGGTGTAAGAGAGCAATTATTACTGGTTGTCTTCCAACGAAACCATGGCTTCAGAGACTCGTAAAGGTAACGTACAGATTCTCAATACTCCAAATCTATTTTCTTTTTGTGATTTTTAGGGTTTTTTTTTTTCTCAATTAATGTAAGGAGTATGTACTATGCTGTTTGTAATAAGTAGTTCCTTTTAGCTGTCAGTTTAATCTTTATTTTTCCGTATGCGGTTGTAGTTCATCGGGCGTTTTTCAAAATCACTACTCTGATCTGTCATTTTTCTCGTAGTTAATGGTTAATCTATATTTTTTATGCAGTTGTAGTTCATCTCAGAGCCACAGGTGACGCCCCTATTCTCAAGCAGGCCAAATTCAAGGTTATTCTTCTTTGATTACATCAATTGTAACCGCATTGATATAGAATCTGCAAAAATTGTTCTTTGATTTTCCTTATTACAACTTTGGTTCCTTAAACTCTATGCTCAAATATAGACTGTCTTCAGTAAAAAGCTATTTCCTTTCTTTTTCTCTGGCTCTTTCTGCTCCTTTGAGAGAGCTACCTAAAAAATTTCATTAATTATAATTTTGACGATCTCCTTTGCCACCACCCCCAGCCCCAAAAATAAATAAATAAATAAATAAAAATCAAAAAAAGCTTGGGCAGTACACTTTTGGATCATGTGAATGTAACATGGACTGGGTTGAATTTTGCATGATGCCCTATTTGTATTATTTGCATGCATAGCACCAGTTCCAATTGAATGTGGGTTATGTTGAACAAGCATGCTACATGTACAATCGGAGTTGACAACCAAACACATGGGAGGGGGCCCACGATGAATAAAAAATCATGGCCCCTTTGTGAGTAGGTTGTCAACCCTGGTTGTACAACTAGCAAAATTCTATGTAGAATTCTAATACACGTTGTGCCAATTCAAGTGCAATCATCTGAGTTTTTTTGTGAACTGAATCATAGATGACTCCTTATCATACACAACTGGTGCGCATATGTTTTCTTTTGTCCACGAATCATTATGTTTTTTCTCCTTCCGAGGAAATGATATTGAGTGAGTCCAAGAATATCTTTTTATGTATTTACCTATCAAATTATCTTCAAAGCAGATTTCTGGGACTGACAAGTTCGTGAAAGTGATTGATTTTCTCCGCCGGCAACTTCACAGGGAGACATTGGTAGGAGGTTTTTATCCTTTTCCTCGTGTTCTTCAAAATGTAAGTATATTGCTTTGTAACTAATTTGTTGTTGTTATCCTAGTTTGTGTATGTTAACAGTGCCTTCTCGCCAAATCCAGATGAGTTGGTGAAAGATCTGTACAATGTAAGTTGTTATTTGAAGTATTTTATACTTTCTCTTTATCTTTTATCATAGTTATCTCCTCTTTCTTTGTCTGTAGCGAGACTCATGGTCATAGAATGAGAATAATTCATCATCATGTTCCGTTGTCCTTTTAGCTGATGATGTTTGAGCAGAAGCCAAATATGCCGCTGCCACTTACTAACTTATTTTAGGCTTTTAGTAAAATGCTTCACTTTGATTGCCCAAAAATCCCACACAATAGGAGAGACAAGAAAGAATAAATGAAGAATAGAAAGAGAATCTAACATTAATTTACTTGGTTTAGCTCAAATAAGCTTATTTTTGCAGGCAAATATGAGAGTCGGATGTTGTAATGATTCTCCTTTCTAACTGAAGTCTTTTCTCTACCTGCATTTCCACTAATACAGTGAGAACATTGCTCTACATTTAACCCTACTGACGACCTCATAAAGTGGGTTCAATTCACACAAAATGAGCTGAGTTTGTATCATAGGGTGTTATCAAGGCATTTTTTGTTCACTTTTTGGGCCCAGCCTCCAATTCATGACGAAAACTCATTTTTCTTATTTCAAAATTGTGTGAAACTGATGTGAACAGCAAAATGGAACGGATTTCTTTGTTAAGTGGAAGCACCTAAAATCAACCAAAATCAATTAAGGAGCGATCAACTACTGAAATTATATATTAATTATTGAACGTGTATGGATGTTGCATGGAATCTGTAGCTGAATGGAATTCCCTAAAAAATGGATATTGGTTGGTAATTTTCTTTCCCTTAATTAGTCGTCGTTTCTTCTTCATTATTGGACTTCACTTAATACCTTTTTTACTTATATGCTTTAAATAATGCATTGAAATGTAACACTCGGAAGATTTGATCAAATTGAATAACTTCATTATTATGGATTAATTTTCCAATTTATATTATCAATTTAAACCGGAATTCACGTGAATCAACAGTTTCCTTAGTGAATGTTCATTTTCTTCTTTGTTGCACTAAACTAGAAACTTAAGCAAGGCTGGGTCAAAATTTCGGCCCAAGCACAATTCGTCAAGAACATTATGACTAGCGGCCTTTGGTTTAGGCAAAGGGACATTTCAAATTAGCCATAGAAACTGCAAAATGTGTTTTGGTTGATTTTTTGTCTTAATACTCGCACACTATTTTCATATGGGCACGTTAGCGTGTTATGTATATCACTTCTAAGTGTTGTTTTTTTTATATGAAATGGCCTACAACGTGGTTTTATGTCCATGTTTCTTTCCCTGGGGAAGATGATTAATGCAATACTTGAAACACTCAGGAAAAAGGGAATAGTCTTGATTATTTATTGCCGAGTGTTGGCAGCAACCAATGGACATGATTATTTTTCTTTTCTAATTTTTTTAGACTTGTTTCTAGATTTAACTGAGCTTGCACTTCGCCCTAGTAGTATATGAAATTAGGTATCTGCCTATATACTAATTTTATTGAAAATTTTCAAAAATATAAAAATTTTGAACTGAAATAACTTTAAAAAGTGGTAAGGTTGTTTTTCTTCTCTTGTCAAAGCTCAAATGTGGCACCAAATGTTTTACTTATTAAGTTTCAATTTTATCCCATCGTTTTTCCTATTTTCTCTAATTGCTAGTGTGAAGGATAATGATTTTTTTCTTGCCATAGACATAATCTTGACACTTGAGCAATACTATTATGTTTATATTTCTCATTATATAAGTTTTCTTGTTTAGAAATATGATATTTGTATCAAACCTCGGTCATTTGTCTCCTAAGGAATCTCTCGAGGTGTTTTTCATTAAGTGGGACTTTCCTCCTTTTGCTCTTTCCTTTCTAGGATTGTGGTGGTCATGGAGGAGGCGTAGTGGTGCGAATGGGTGAAGGAACTGGTGGATGGCATATGAATGTTTATGAGAAGATAGATTCATGGGCGAAGGGTGGTGGGGT